TAATCGATAAAAGAATCAATTAAAAAGAAATTTAATTTAAAATGACTTATTTTATTACAATTGTATTATGCTTGTTTTTGTTATAAATTTTATATTATTATTTTACTATTAATCTTTACAACTTCGCGTAGAAATGAGATAAAAGACTAATAATATAAATATGCTCGTAATTTACAGGCAGCTATTTTTATCTTCTCGTGATACAACGCGTAGTAACTTTTCTTTTACTACGATCGCGTGAGCTAAAGCAAGTCGTAATTAAGAATCGATCCTAGGTCATTCTGTTTGTTTCTTAGGGTCGCCGACTGTTGTACTTGGCTTCTTATTGCACCGGCCGTACCTTATTAGAACATATCGGCATGGCCATTTAAATTCCAGCGGATCGTACACGTGTATTCTAATCTATCTGAAAAGAGCAGAGCTTTCATGCTTCTGTGTAATTGTCAACGTCGGTATTAAATCTTCCGACTTTGTCGATTTCGCCGATTAAAAGTGTGTACTTGTCGCTTATTTTTATTTTTTTGTCATTAAAATGCTTGACAATCTTTAAAGCGTCGGCATTGCGATCGATAAAAGCCTGCCGATTATTCCAGTGTTTCCTTTTTGAATATCTAACACTTACTTTCAAGATTAAAACAGGGACGTATTGCTCTGATTCTTCTAAATTTAAAGTTATTAATTTCTTAAAGCTTTCAAAAAAAAATAAGCAAGACAGCAAATAAATAATATGTCTTCTTTTATTTTACTAAATAATTGAAAAAATTTTTTATTCTTATTTGGAAATTTCTGTTAGAGTCGAAGTTTTATTAATTTTTATATCGATACAGCTCTGCAAAATAACCCGTGTATAAAACAAACTATATGAAATCTTAATTGTCAGCTCTGCTCTCTTAGTTAATCGTTTGGATAGAGATTGCATCTCTTTCTTACTCTCACAAAAAAAGGATAAAAACATATTGCCTCTATAGAGAGGCGCCTATAAACAGGCGTCTTTAGTGACGCAGATAGCGGCGTGTAAAGTGTCTCGCGATTATGCGTGCCAAAATGACACGCGGAGCAGAAAAGGGATATGTACGAGGAACCTTAAATGGAAATGCCCCAGACTTGTGCCCCCAATCTCTCCGGATTTCATTCCGTCTCTTTCTTTCTCTCTCTTTCGCGTTCGCTCGATCTCTTCTTCTTTTCTTTGTCACTCTTTTACTCCAGAGACACACGCACACTTTGTACCTCTCGGTTCTTATTACGGTGCTATCAAGCAACGTAAACGTATCTCAAGATCGAATATCTCCGAAGAAAGGTCGTAAAGTCGATACGTGACGCCGAGAAATTGGGTTGTCACCGCGTTAAAGTTCCTTATGTGTTATTTTAATATGTATCCATCGACACCTAAACTTAAGCAATAGTCGACAGCATAATACTTTCTGTTTGTAAATCGATTTTGTCGTCACCCTCTTCTCTTTATAAAAAAATATCAAAGTGTGAAAGTAAAATATAAAAGATAAAATTCTCAAAATAATCTTATCACAAATATCACATTATGCACATCCATCTTCGTCCAAATTCGTAAGTCTGAGAGGATTACAAATAAGACGTCAAATTAATCTTACTCACAAACAGATCGGGATAAAGATCTGCGCTCCCGATCCTGTAAAACAAGTTTATAGAAGATCCCGAGACGTGCCAAGCATGTGGGTGATGACAATTTCTCACCGAGGCGTAATCCCGATACTCAATATCTAGATTTTCGCTTTCAGTTATACTAAAAATATATTATATTTCAAAAAAAAATAGAATGGCATCAAGAGCCGTCACGGGATGTTAGTGTGTGCTAAATTTTTAATTTATTTTCATAAAGTAATTTTTTAATAAATTAGTCTACAAGAGACAGTTAGATTGTACACCGATCTCAGATCGAGATACCTAATGTGTACGAAATTATAAGTATTATTGTTCT